TTTAATTACCAGGATGATGCATCCAGCAAAATGTACGCATGTCTGATGCACTGACATATGAACCAGAAACAGGTCATATTCCGTTTTTGGAATATTGCATTAAAATGTTATAGGAGTAGCAAGGATTAAGTAAGAATTGCTTTTTTTTTAACATCCGTATTAATTAGACACGTGAAAATAATGGTCATTTGTCAATGCACGCAAACTAATTCAATTCTGTATAAAAAAATTACGTTTTTGGAAACTTTATTGTATTTTAATGGATATCATAATGAAAACTATTTTTGTTAATTTTTTGGAACACATATAATAAAAGTGGATAGAAAAATGTCAGGTATTCATGCAATGTATTAAAATGTGCACTGGAAATCTGACAATCATGTTACATCAAATTCTGGTTTGGCTTAAAAGTATTTCTGTATAGGTTCCCCAAGAACCTTTTCCATCTGTGTTACGACTTCTTGGCACTTGTGTTCTACTTCTTCTGATTCATCTGGAATTAGTAAAATTTTAAGTTTAACTTCTTACATTATCAATTATATGGGAAAATTATATCAAAGATGGTAGGAATTGTATTTTGTTTGAAGATCTTTGAAGTGGTAAAAATTGTTCATGATTTAACTTGATACAATCTCTTCTTGCCATGGCGAAGTCAATGTTGCATTTCATTTTTTTTTCATGAATCAATCATAATGCAATGATTTCAGAAAAAGGTTTCAAGCCCCAAAATAATTTCATAATTACAAATGGCTAAAATAGAAAAAGATTCTTTCCAATTTCAATTTAAAGGAATGTTTATTTTCCAAATAAACTATTGATGAGACATGTTGAAGAGCTGTTTACAAAAGCACCTGCATCATGACTCACTCTAATTTGGGTCTTCATATACCAAAACGTGTTTGAAATTCATCCCAATATACCATATGCAGTGTATGAAATCCTTACCTTCCATGAGTTCAGCTAGGAAGGGGATAGTCTCTGGAAGTAGTGTCATATATTCCTCTCCCAGTTTGGTATTGAACTCTTCTATCACCCTCAAAGCTGCAAAACGAACCTAAAAAGAAATGTCTTCGTTTAAATAAAACCTCTAATACCCTATAAACCATGCAATTGTAGGTGAATGCAACATATAATAGAAGCATAGTAGCAGTAGTATAGTGACATAAGGGTTCAGTAATCATAAAAGTAAAACTTGCAGTTTTGACAAAATCAGTATATATTAAGGTCTGTTTCAGAACTTGTAATCAAAAACCACTGATAGGCATTTTAGACATTTCCAAAACAAGTCCACACATTAACCTTTGCTGAGATATTCCTAGTCTTCAACAAAACTTGATAGTTCAGAGGTTTCCACATCCCATCATCCCCAGCTGCAATGGCGAACTGGGCGATACACGGCACCAAGTGGTCGTTAACTCTGGACTCATAGCAACCCTCACCTCCTTGAAGATTTTCAAGCTGCAACAGTTGAAAATGATATAATATGAATATATGTTCAATAAACAACGTTCATTTCCCCCAATATTAGGAAAACTAAGTGGGTGAATTTTTCTATGACTAAAAGCAAGAAAGGCATATTTACAGACATAAAGCTCAATAACAAAAATAAGCAAAAAGATTAAAGGGAATATAAGAAAATTAGGGACAGTTTGTAATCAGTTTTCAGTTTTTTACAAAGGTGCGGCAAGTTGGCTAAAAAAAATAAAAATAAAATAAAATAAAAATGCGGTGCATTCAAATAATTGGTTAATAGGACTCAGGAGACAAGATGGAGAGGAAGAAAACAAGGTACATAATCAAACTCTTACCTGGTCTGCCAATGGCTGCATGAGTGTATCAAACCTTTCCTTGTTGAGAAAGCCGTCTGTATCATATAGGAATATTTTGTGGAGACAGTCCAGCACATACTGTAACAACTGACTCGCCTTCTCTTCAGCACGGGGATCTTCACCAAAATATGGCTCAGCTAGAAAAAAAATTGCAGACTGGTTTTGCAATTTATCAAGAAAAAAAATCAACAAATGTTTCTTCCTAAAAGGTAAATTGTGGAATAACATGAAAATATCTAGAATATCTGAATAGGTTTTAATGAAAATAACAGTAATTAAAAAAAAAAAAAAAAAAAAAATGAATAAAAAAATATTCCCTGGTTTTACCTGTTTTATAGGTGTTATTGTCATTCAATATGTTGGCAGAGTTCTTCACAATGTGTCCAGCAAAGAGTGAGAACAATCCCTTCAATTTCTCTGAGATGCTGTAGGAAATAAAAAAGAGAGCACTACAAAATTCATCTGCTAATTAAAATTCCAACTTTTTGCATTGCACAGACTCATATTAAAATGTGAAAACATAAGACAAACATTTGTAGAAGACTTAAAATAAGACATGAATAATAAGAACTTACCCGTTTCCCAACCTATAGAATGTGATCAACCTGTCTTTAGTTGTCTCAAGCCTGGTAGCCCAGTCAAACAGCTATTAAAATAAAGGAGTTGGCATTTTAAACTAAGCAGATATTCGCAGTTAGAGAGATCTGAAACTCACATATCTGTTTATCCTTCAAACTGCATACATGATAAAAATTTGTTGTTTTATTTATGTTGTATTATATTTAAGGTCTATCAACTCCAACATACCTTGAAAAACATAGGCCTGAATGTTGCCTCTGATAGTCTCATTATCATAGCAATCACTGGTTTTATCACACACTCTTCTATTTTAAGGATGTCTAGCATTGGCAACTGAAAGAATAAACATTTTGCTTTTCCGAGTCTAGCCATTTCATTTAAAAAAAACATGCAGACTGATATCAAACTTTATATTCAATGTACTACAAATGTTTCAGATTATTTCAGACAAAACCTGTGGCCCATGCTTTTGGACAAAAGGATAAGTCAGTTACAAATACTCCTTGTCCACTGTATGTGACATACAAGAGCACATTAGATCTTGGCTGTGCCTTGCTATCATTATGTTCTTATTATGTCACACACTGTGGAAGGCCAGTGTTAACTAGGGTTTATTAAGTCTTTTTCTAGATAAATTAAGTTTTTGAATCCTGCAATTCATTACTATTAATTTTTACATCAAGAAACATAACAGGCTCTTGAATAAAATGAAGATTGTAATTGGACACCAAAACAAAATAACACAGGAAATAGTAATCAGAAACAAAAAATCTGTTATGCGCATACATTCTGGTTATTCATTCTGAAATCCAGAGCAGTGAGGAAGAAGGTAACAATCTGGTTGTGGTGGCTATTCAGGTCATCTTTACTCATGCTGGACAAATGACCCTCCAAGATGGACATCAAGGGGATGATACAAGACTGGAATGAAGATGAAGTTAAACATTGTCAACAATCATCAAAGTCTATCCGTGACAGTATACATATTAATTTGACCTAATTTGACACAATTTATAAAAATTAATATATTTTATATAACCTTATTTAAAATGTAATTAAATGTGTATGTTTATATCAACATATCAGTGTTCTAACATGGTGTGGATACAGAATCCATTCATACAAGCAACATGCATTACCAAGAAAACAAAGAATTGTTAAGTTTTTTAAAACTCTTATCTACATGACTTCTCATTCAGGTTATTTCTGTTTGAGTTCACATCCTCACCTTCTGCTGCTGCACCACACTATCATAGCAGTGGGTTACAGCTGGCAGCAGCACTCTGGGGGCTATAACTGTGGACAGATTGTGCCTAGAATAACAACATGTACAAATCACTTTTTCTGTATGAGGCACAGAATTTTATATGAGAATAGAACTTTGAAGATATGAGGCAACATGTAAGGAACTACCACTTAACAGAGCATGAATGCCAGAATTTTGGTCTTTTATGCCTACATACAGTACAACACAAATTAGACAAAGCATTTTTAACAGTTAAAACATCATTTTATCAATATATTTTAATATATCTTATACTAATAAAGTCAGTTTTATATCATATAGCAACACACCTGACAGCTCTCAGTCTCAGATGCAGCTGGGACTTGTGATGGTCTTCAGACTCTAAGCAGGACAGCTGGACCACCCTGAGCAGCACCTCTTCCAGGTATGGACTGAGAAAATGTGGCAGGCTCTCCACCACCTTGTGGAGTGTGGTCACTGCACTCAGCAGCAGCAGGTCATTGCTGGCAGGTAACACAGTACAGGGGATAAATAACCAACATATTTAAATATGTTTTAAGAGGGATTTTTGGCAAAGTTAATATATGAACCAGCTGAAGCTGACAAATTGTATAGCTCAAAACCCAATTTAAGACAGAAAATGTGACACATTCCCTCTTTTTCAAACATATGAAAAATTCAAAATAATGCAAGAAGTAAAAAATATTTAACAGCTAAAAAATATAATTTTTTCAGATTGTGTCACAATATAATATATACAACCATGTGAAACAAAGATGAAATATTACATTCTGTATGATACAAATCTCCATAAATACAACTGCATACAGTATAATTTACAATTCCACTCACCTTAAAAGGTTTTCTTCATTCTGTAGCACCTTGAGTAAGCCAGGCATGAAGCGTGGCAGGAATGGGATGGCATGGGCTTTCAGCACACTACACAACTCTGCCAGCAACAGCAAGGCACTGGCAGCCACGGGAGATGCAGTGCTGGCACCAGACTCCAGAAAGATGGTGGTGCTCAAAACAAAAAGCTGGTATAGAAAGAGGAGATATTGCGTGAGCATTATGGTCACTGTTACAAGAGAACAAATATACAATTAATACTAATCTAAATTACCCAATGAATTGTTTTTAAGAATAAAGATTACAATTTATAGAATACATAACAGTGTAATCAGAGCCTTGCCTTTGGAGTCAATTTTATTCTGAAACTGCAGATTCAGTGAATCACTAAACCAGCTGTTGACGGAAACAGTCAAAATCTGACTGAAGGCAGACTACCAAAGAAATCCCACTTCTACCTTTGTAAATGCTGCTGGACTGTCCTTGCCTAGGCATTTGCAGAGTAACTTTAGGCTATAGAGGGCAGTCTGACGATTCACAGCTTGCTCCTCTCCACCATCACTGTCTGTTAAATTAGTTGCTGCGGCAACTGACACCAGCTTGTCAATAAGGTTGAGCAGTGCAAATTGCTAAAGGTAGACAACAGATAGTATTGCAAACTAATTTAAAAAGAAAACTTACAAAATTTGTTTTGTGAAAGTTCATCAACACAAGGTATAGGATTTTCTTAAACAATGGTTGTAATGGCTGGAAACTTAAATGCCATCTTTGAAACCTTTAAAGGACCAAGAATGTTACTCAAAATAAATAAGTTTACAAATAGCAGTTATACTATATGCAGGTGCAACAGTTTAAAGTTATTATTTACAATGTTATCTTTAACAAGGCTTTTGAATAATAATTTTTTTGTCCACATTTTCCTCATTTTCTGAGAAATACACTGACAAACCTCTTCTTGTGTAAAAGGAGTCTGTTGTTGTTGTAGTTTGTTATTCAGCATATCCATTGCCTTCCTCCTCACTGTGGCCAACTCATTCTGCATCAAGCCAGTCACCACGGTAACAAAAACATTGCCTGGCAACAGTGCATTCACCTGAACATAAAAAAATTGTTAGATTGTTTTCCAGCACAAAGATAATCAAATTATTTCATAGTCCCATTTAACAATCTCTTTTCAACAAATGTCACTTAACCATACAAGGGACTTCAGTTGTATGATAGTTTCATTTGGAGACAAATAGTGCCTTTATCCTTTCAAGTTGCTATAAAATTGTATCTCTATGCAAAGTGCATCTAACAGATGTCATTAATCCTCCATTCGACTTAATCCAAGTGAAGAAATATAAGGTTTCAAAAATATATTCATTGATTATTTCTGAGTTTTTAACTTGTTGGTGTGTGTTCATAAAGTAGTAGAAAAATATTGTTTGTTTTAGTCAATACATCTGAGGATCTCCATCAATATACTGGAATGGTACAACCATGTTAAAGTGGTGAAAATATGCACCTTTTCCAATATATCATATCCCTTGTGCAACAAAGCTCTCCAGAACTTGGCAGTATTGCTGTGTGTGTGTGCTTCCAGACAGTGGGCAACCTGAGTGATGTACCTCAAGTCTTCTTCTAGAAGAGTCTGATACAGAGGTTGCATGGAGGTCACATCTGTCTCCTCTAATTCCACAAGCTATGAAGGTAAAAAACTTCCATAATAAAACTCTCAAGGAGGTCATCATCTCAGTTGTATGATTTCACAAGCTATACATGCTGGCATAAAAATTTTAATCTATCTTCATCTTAAAACATTTAAAATATGCATTTTAAAGAGATATAGGTAAATAAATTTTTCGAATGTCTTTTCCATCTCATTCCTTACAGTCGAGGTAATATATTTATTTTATACTTTTAAACACATTCAACTTTTAAATTAAAAAAATAAGATATAAATAATTTAAAATGCATTTTAATTCTGCAGTGAAAAAAAGGTACCTGGCTGATAAATGTCTCACTAGAGAGCAATACACTGATAAAGTTTGCTAAAGTGTACTTGAAATGTCGCAGTTGTTTAGCAGTGTGGGTCTCTGTGTCAAACAATTCATTCTTTGTCTTCTTCTTTGTCACATTTCTGGGTGTTCTTGTTTTTGAAGTTGTAGCAGTATCTGGAGGGAAAAATATCAGACATTTTATAGGAACAAACATCCCAATTCCTGATCTCTTACACTTCTTTAGGTTAACATATTTCATATATAATTTGTCTTATAATGTCGGCAATGTTTCCTACAGACCGTTTACTCTCCCCCGTCCCCGATAGTTCTATTATAAAATAATGCCTTAAAAACCCACAATATCACAACCACTGAGATGTTGACACTCGCCTTCTTCCTTATCCTGTGGCAACTTTGCCAGATACTGGAGTAACTGATGACAGCAGACAACCTGGACCCTTGGCGAGAAATTGTGGACCACATGGAGACAGAATTCAATGTCTTGGTGGACATGTCCTGCTGGAGGCTGTAAGATATAACACAAAAAATCTGATATAAAGCTGTATATTTAACTGTAAGTTTCCTGACTTTATAAACTTTAAAACCCTATGGTGTTTATTTGTTTCATTCATACGCAGTAATGGTTAAACACACACTTGTGCATGCACACAAACACACACAGAACCTGCAGTTATACAGTCATGAACCAAATCATTTGGTAACAAATAATTACCTTATTTTCTTGCTCATCAGTTTTCTGTGCCCCTTTTGTGATATGGCTCTCAAGCATTTGTACAACCATGATCCAAAGAAACTTCTCGGTCCCAACCGTTTCTGCGAGCTTTGTGAAAAGAGGCAGACGGCGATGGTCTGGTATATGAGGGCTGGCATCAACAAACACTCTCAACACATCAGACACCACATTCTGCACCTTCTCTTGCTGTTCACTTGCCTGTGGAAAATTAATCAATTTGTAGTGTTTAACAAATTCTAACATTTTAGAAATCACAACAGTGTTTAGTGTGTAAATAAAATTCACAACAGAATTAACGCCATTATTTTTGTGTAATGTGGACATATCATATTTCTTTTCTCCTACCTTTATTAGGGCTGGTATGACAGTTTCCAATGTCTTTGTGATCACCTGGAAGCTGTAGGCATCATCTTGTCTCATGATGTTGGCCCCCATGAATGTAAACACAGCCATGATGTTGTGCAGCACATGGTCCTGAATGGCAGACATTTTCTTATAAACCACATTGTTGAAATATTCATCAATAAAAGAGCAATGCACCTCCAACCCAACTCATAAAAATTAAAAACAAAGAAGCAGATTATGATACCCAAACACTGTTACAAGTTTCAGGCTTAAAAAGATTAAAAGGCCTTTCCAAGATATATATATATAAAAAGCTGACATAGTCACAGATCAGAAGCAGCAGTCATACTTACAGGAAACAGCCCAGCAGCCATGCTGAGCAAGAGCAAAGCATGCCTGTGTGTTTGAGGGTTATCTGAAGAACGGATGCATTGAACAAGCAACTCCACATTAAACTGCTTTTCACTGACCAAACCTAAGCCATGGAAGAGGAATAAACAAACCCATGAATAAACTTGTACACCTGACGTGGAATATGCTGTTTATATATGTCAGATTTCACAACAGTAACTGAACTCCAATGTGTTCTATTATGTTAGCTTTAATAATTAAATTTGAGTTTTATAATTTCCCTTTAATAAAACTCAAATTCACTAAAGCATATATTCAGATTTTACAATGCCACATGTCTGTATTTAAATTATGTCTATCTCATCTTTACAAATCACTTACTTTTATCTATTGGCTTTCCATCTGGTGATAGTTTCTGACAGGCATGAAGTATGCAGGACAACAGCAATTGCTTTACATACTCTGTGCTGCTTGTGTCGTCCACCTCAAACAATCTACACAAGAAAATCATAGAAAAATATCAGCACTGATGAGGTAATTTTTTTATTGATAGCAAGCAAGACAAGCGAGATATGGAAAAAGATTTGTAGGCCTGTAGGACGTCTATGCACTTGAGGTCTGTGAGGTTGTAGCAAGGCCATCTGCCATACCATCCATTGTTAAGGACCAGTATGGAAAATTTACCAAGCAGTTCTTCTAGCCACACTTACAGTGAATAATGACACAGTGTCAAAATTCAAAGCGGAGATGGCCAATTACACTGCAATTTTAATATTATTAACCTTACAGTTAAATACACTCATAAGTACAACAGAATGCAAACTTTTAGTCTTTGTCTATGATATTGGCAATAAAAGAATATACCAAACATTCATTGATTTGTCACTAATTTGACTAAAACTCATTTGATCATTACTGTTTTATCTAAAATGTTTATTCTACGTCTTAATCAATTTAAAGGTTTCATAGGTCACTCGTGTAACTCACTTGGAAATTAACCCAAAAAATATTGGTATCAGAAGATGGATGTTCTTCACTTTCTTCTTATTCTGCAGCATCTCTAGGATGAGTGTAACCCTTCTCCATCCTCTTCTCTCCATTGGAGCAGTATCTTCTTCAGAAGGCACATTTGGACGCGACATGCGCCGAGCACGTTTTGCCTCTCTCACAGTGGAGACAGCCCCGGCTTGCTGGTCCAGTTTATTCAGCTCGAGAGCAATCTGCTCTGCTTGCAAGGAGAGCTGAAATGGAGAAGAGAGTGCTGAATTCTGCTTGATGAAGTATATTTGTATACTTAAATCCAATTAAATCTTTACTGCTAAAATGTAAAATACAATGACTAGGTGTATCCAACATTTAAGGAACAGTGGTTATAGCAGCTTTTAACAGAATCTGTGTTATCTTATATTTGCTAGTTTTGCAATTCAGCAAGCGAAACTAGTGAAACATTTAAGAAATATCATTCTCAAATCTATTTCTAAACAATCTAACCAATGCAATATAATCTACTGCTGTACACTTCATGAAACCAACTTTTTTCTCTATGCTTTACAAAATAATTTATACCCCTTTCAAAGCCTTGGTGACCAAAGTAGCTGTTGCCATAGTGCTGCCATCTGTCCACAGGTCAATGAGTGCACACAGTATCAGTTGTTGTACATCTGCACTGGGGATGGAACTGAAGAACTCCTTGGTGACCTGTTGAAATTATAAAAGAATTTAGCAAGATAAATGATTCTAAAGGAACAAGTATAAGGATATGACCATCAAAGCAACAGTATGCTGAGACTCTCACAACTTTTTTACTTCATTTACATTATCAAGCTGTATTATTTTTATCAATTTTACAAAAATTAAATGCCAACAATTTATACAAATCCATAACATCAGGTGCAATACACTAAATCACACATATCAACATATTTCTTAGAGAAACTAAGACATTAAGTCCTATACAAACCATTCTACTATCTAAATTAAAAGTACTATTCTCAGAACACAGTCATAACAGAATTTACAAACCTGTTTTATAGCCATTTCCCCTGGTGCAAGTTTTCCAGGGCATACCACTTTGTCAAGCTGCAAAGCTTTCAAAAACAATTTCACACTCTGATCATTTCTTGCCAGGAGAGCAGACGTCTCTGCGTTAAACTTGGTCAAGATCAGCTCCAGAGAAGTGGCATCATTAGGAGACAAATGATGTTGTGTTGTGGATGCCCTATGCAGAATATCCTGCATCACTGGCAGTAGTTGGTTCAACATATCCTTAATAGAAAGAGATATCTTGTGAAAAGCTTTTTATTACTAAATATGCTTATTGTCAGATGTTATTTTATAGTTTAGCATATTATTTAATAATTATCTGTATGCATAATAAATGTAAAAAGTGAGCTTTAATGTTTGCAGCATTCTTTACATCCAAGGTCTGAAAACTAACTGTCATCAATCACAATCAGAATTGTAGAGCTATGTCCTACTGAGCAAATTTCAATGCTTTGTTTCGCTAAAGCAACTGGAAATCTATTATCTGGGGACAAGGTAAACGTTACTCAATAAGGAACCCCTTACCTCACTGTGCACCTCCTTTAGGCATTTCAGCAACCCTGTCACCACATGTCTAGGAGTCTCCTGGCTCACCACACAGTGTAACAGACTTCCCAGAGCAGCCTGGAGCAGCCCTTTCTTGGCTTTAGACTTTTCCTTCTTCTTTGGGCTTAAAAGCTCCCCAGTTTCATCTTCAGCCTTCTTTATCTTTGAGAAGAGGACTCCCAAGGTCTGAGAAGAATGAAGTGATTTTTTTTCAAATAAACAAGACATTGATTCATATGGAACTACTGCTAAATTCCCAGGTTTTAGTTAAAGACAAATGTAACAAATTTTCATATATATATATATATATATATATATATATATATATATATATATATATATATATATATGTATGTTCTTTAGTAGTCTTTCTCACAAAAAATCCTATTGACAAACTTGTATTACACATGGCTTCACCTGCAATTAAAAACTTTACCCAATGGCACTACTTGATGGAAAAAAAAGAAAAATATTGGTATTACATTCTCTAGATAGCAATTGTGCCACATTACCCTGTTAAAAACTTCAAGCCTTTTATGAAATTGATGTAAAAAGCACCTCACCTGAGACAAATGGTGTTGATCAGTGATTAGTTCCTCCTTAGCATGGACTAGCCTACTGACCACAACCATATATGGGCTGGCATCTGCAGGACACTTCTCTTTCACTGCCCCCAGGATCATCAAGGCAGCCTCACGTACTGGGGGATACACCGAAGTCAGGGATACCAGCAAACTAGGGATTACTAGAAATAATGCAGAAAAAAATACAATATATATATATAAAAAAATACCAGTCAAACATAAATGCTGACATTACATCCAAAATATCTAGAATTGTTTGTGTACTAAAATAAACACATAGCAATTACAGATGTCAATCACTTCATTTACAAATATATGGTGGTCAAGATTGGAACAGTGTATGAAGCATTTATGTTATTGAATAATTTCCCCTCGAGAGGTATAACTACCACTGTGCTTACCTGGAGATTTGGTGCCCATTAAGGCAGCCATATCTGCCTTATTGTCCACACTGGAGAGGGCAGCACAGGCCACTCTCAAAGCTCTGGCCTGGGTGAACGTGGTCAGAGATGTGATGGACATGTCCAGACAGTTAGATGTCCAAAGCATGGCCAGGAATTTAAACAGAAGGGATAACTTGTCAAACTGGGTCTGGAGGAAAAAAATGAAAAATATTTTTTTACATTGCATATCATGATAATCATGGACAAAGCACTTACTCCTCAGTTAACATTTAAGTCTTTGATTAAATTATCTAAATCTGATGATCTGTCTTCAACCCACAGCAATAATGAACAAAGCTGTCAAATGTACAGACAAAAACCAGAAAANATGCTGATTTTCGAACTTGACCTGCGTATTACAAATATTCATCAGTTCTGTAAGTTTCAAGCCAAAAGAAAAAACAGTTTTCCACTTATCGTGTTATCGGTAAAAGTGCACGGCGGCGACGGCGACGACAGACGCAGATGATGGCTATATGTACAGACACATCTGTGTCTGTACATAAAAATTAAATGTATCTTCACCAAGACTAAGCACTCAGATCATTTGCCAAAAAGGTCCTAAATCTTCTATTAACATAACATGGAGAGCTGGGTCATTGTTTAATAAACCACACATACAACTTGACCTAAACAGACATACTACCATCACCAAGACTCATTATACTCACCTTAAACAACAGCTGCAACAGACTTTCATAACACTTCATGTTTTCCTGTTGGTCAGAGGCCAGGGCTGTGGTCAGCATGTCAAATATCCTGGTGCACACATGGAGGTACAGATCATCACCTTTCTTCTCTGGGTGGATTGCCCACCAGTGCTTGCCTTGGAAACAGCAAAATATATGCTCAAGGCATGACAGAAATAAAAACTTTAAAGAAGGAAAATGAATACTAAGAAATATATATTATAATTAGAATTTATCTTCTAATTATAATGAATACTAAGAAATATATATTATAATTAGAAGTTATCTTCGTTAATTGAGCCGCATGCATCTAAAAGTGGAGTTTTCCAATCTTTTTCAGTTTCTGCCCTTTCCTTATAACTAAGGCATGATTTTCAGATACACAAAACAATGATACAAATATTTTTACTTTTGATGAAAATTACCTGCCAGTTGTTTGGATATCTTAAGAGAAGAGATCAACCTGTGCATAACCCCAATAAAGACACCCTCTGGAAGCCCTTTGTTTGCTTTAACTGACTGGATGAAATTGCTGTTTAGATGCCTCTTGCTCCCGAATTCTTTCACTGCTGTGGTTAGGTCAAGTGGAGTTGCTTCTACATTTTTTTGCTTTGGGCTCTTTAGGAGAAAATGTCACAAACAATTATATTTTAAAACTTAATCAACAAACAAATTGACCATTAAAAAAATTTTAATTATTACAAAAGTCACCTGCCTTAAGAATGTTGAACCAATGAAGTAAAAAACATCTTTCATCCCCGCTTTGAGCA